CATTTGGAGCCCAAGCTGGTAGATTGGGTCGCCAGCAAAGCAGTATCTCCGTCACATCTCCTCGCACTTTTATCATCCTTACAGTTTTTGAATGTTTCCTCCTTGCTTGAACTCTAAATAGACTGGGATCGATCGTGGTGAGTTCCTCCTATCTTGTCACCTTGCTTCTGTTTTCATTGAAAGGAATATACTGATTCCACCTGCGGCAAGTAGCGGCATTCGGTTTAAGGTTTCTACCCTGACGCGGAGCATTTCGTACCCCTTATATGCTCTCCCTTGCAGGGTGGATGTATTGCATGCGCATATTTTTTTCTCTGTTCGCTAACAAATTTGCATATTAGACTGCTTATTTTCCTTAGAGAAGAGGATGCTTTTCCACTTGCTCGAAAATCTGTCTTTGGTGCAGGATGTGCAGGATGTAACAATTTATTTATTTATTAGTTGCAAGGTCTGTCAAGTGATCTTGTAAAGCAAACTAAGGATACTTCGCCACCAGACAAGGTGCACATATTAATGAAAACTTGAAAACTTTTCTGACTAGATAACCTATGGTGGTGAAGGAATGAACTATGACTTCGTTCGAACAACTCAGCATAGCGTTAAATATCCGCCAAAAATACCAATCACCACAGTTATTCGCATATGTACCTGAGCTCAGCATATAAAGTACTTACTGTACTGACTTGAACGAAATCATGGAGAACAGCTAAGATTTACACTACTCAACATTCAAAAAAGTCAAATAGATATACACCTAAACAGACATTGATGGAATAAATCAGCATATTTGACGAGACGGATGTTAGACACGTTTGACAATCGGTAAGCGAAATGAACACGAGTACGATCACACAGGAGGAATTTAAGATGGCCTTATGTTTGTCGGGAAGGTATTTTGAAGAGAATACAGCACTGCTAGCAGAAACAGTCCATTCCAAGTGAAGGTTATCTAAAGAAGTGCCGCCTAGAAAACCTTTGGATGCCTCCTTAACGCTGAGCATAGCATTACTTTTCAATAAATTATTTAGCATAGAGCTGGAAAAAAACTATTAGTCTCCGACTTTATTTGATAATAATTCATCAGATTTACCAGGACTCAACTTTACTTATAGTCAAAAGAAACTCGACAAACGTCCTACAGAGGTATGTTAATTATATTTTATCCAAAACCGCATACGAACTTGCCTATATTATCGCCCAACTCCATGTCGAACTGGTCAAACTCGTAATCAGGAGCGACAAATTCACTCTGAGTGTTATCTGTCGGCAGCTCATCCTCCAAGGCATTATCTTTAGTGCTGGTCTTAGGCCCAGTAGGTGATCGCAGCGGTGGGTTTTTAGATGCTGCAGGGAAGGCGGTCAAAACTTGTGACCTACGATCCATATTGTCGAACTGTTTGTTCTTCGGCAGTCTGACGTCAAGTGCTTCTAGAGGGGAAAGAAGAGCAAACAAATATGTGAGTACTTCCTTTCGGAATTGGAAGACAACAGCATTTGGTTTTTGTTGGGAGACATAATCAGCTGACAAAAAATTTTAAGACTCGCGCGATTTAAAATGCCCAATTGTAATAACGGGCAATAGTTTCCGGCGTTTCTGTGAGATGGGATTGTCATGGAGAAACATGGTAGCCATTGCTATGATCTTTGATAAAAACACTATCTTGCGAACCTACACAGAAGCCAGGCTTTCTTTGTCCAGCAACTGAATTTCTCTCAATGAGCTAAGTGGCGAATCACTTTAACTTAAGATTAATCGTCTGTATACAATCCACTAACTACTTACCCGATGTCAAACTGAGTAAGGAGAAAACCAAATCACCGTAGATTCAGCTTTCTGCGCCTCATGACAATCTTAGAAATACATAGTTGCTTGGAAAGACTAAGCCGCTTCATAAATCTTTGCACGCACTTCTAGTCCGACAACTGTCACTAGAAATACGCAAGAATACTACCCCGTACAATACTCTATGAAGGTCGCCGGGAAGAAGTGACGATCAAAGGAATTCCTCGAATGGGATGTATTTTTTCTGAGCTTTCGAGCTCTTGCAGGAGCTCATCGTCATTGTTGCTGTTTCTCCACCTCTGACAATGACCTCCTGCAATTCCTCGAATGTCCTACGACTTCTAGATGAGTAAGCAGGACTCCTGGCATATTAAGGAACCTTTAACTTGTTTCTGCAGTAAAGAAATGTCCAACTGCTCCTGAGCAGTAAGTCGTCAGAGCTCGAGTCGGGCAGCGCTGAAAGCCTGTTGTAAGTGTGCCACTATTTTATATAGATAGAAGCAGATTCGTGGTTTGCGGAAGTAACTCCATTTTACTGCACTTGCATTCGAGGACTTTGCATCATCAATGTGAGTTTTGTGTCTGTACAATTAACATTTACCGCAACAAAGGGAATAATGTTAAAGGACTATGAATATCTAAGTGCCCAGCATACGAAACTGCTGCACAGCCACAACGCATTCTTCTTGAAGCGGACTTAGCGGTAATCCTGTACGTGGTTTAATGAAGAAAAAAACCAATGAAAAAGACCCAGATTGTTATAAAATTGAGGTTTCACAAACATAACTTGCAGTCTAAATTAAAATGTAGGTCACAATGAAGTCGCTATTAAGTTAAGAATAGGGCATAATAAACGGCTTTGATAACTTCTGCATAGTTGCGGTTTCTGCAGCCTAGACAAAAATTAGCTTTCAATTTGCACGAACTACAAGTCGATGGCCTACTGAACATATCTTGCACAGTTTTAACTGAACTTCGCCATGATATCTAAAGACATTGAAGCCATTGAACCCCTGGGAATACGTGCATCATAAAAAACGAAGTTTCTGCAACATAGAAGTTGAAATACGAAAAAAACCACAGAAGCACATTCGCTTTTCTTATTCTCGTTGTCTGGGTAAAAGCAAACGTATCGCTACTATTGTCTATTACATAAAATTCTAAAAAACGGAACATATTTGTAGAAAAAGCCAGCCACAGCCGCTGTTTGAATTGTTATTGAAATATATCATGTATTTTGACGATACTAGGAACTGCCTCCCAGTTATTATAGGCTATGCCGGCATTGGACGGTGTTCAGTAAATAAGTGATTATTTTTTCAAACCGATGGGGTGTATATCAGATAGATATGAGGATAAAAAAGGATTTTATTTTTTAAGATTAGGTTGGTCCACAGTCCCGGATAGAAGTAAATGCTTATAATTTCATCGCAGAGCAACAATTCCCTGAGCTATTTTTAATGCTACCAGTAGAAACAGAATGCAGGGAATGAGATGTTGAAGCCTTCAACTTCCATAAACCCGTGCTGCATTTACTAATACAATCAATTAAATTCATTTATTTCTTAAAGAAAATGAAATCGTGAAAGGTTTTCGCATCAATAGTATCCTTGTTTAGGTCACCCTCTTTCTGAAAAGTTATACTAAGAGAAGCTTGTCTACCGCATGCTTGTGTCTTTTGAAAAAATAAGCACTAATGAGAAAGTCGGTTTTAAATGTTTTTGATAATGGAAACGCTATTAAGGAATGAGACATAAATTTTCAACTGTTATTTACATGCTATCTTCTAAAAGAATAGTAAATGTCCCTCTATAAATTATAATAGTCCTGTATTAATGAATGAATGATTTACAAATGAGAACACCGTGATACTTGAATTGCAAAAAGACAAAGTTGGCAGTGGGATTCCTCAAATGACGGATATATACAATGGAAAACCCTGAAATGATTACACACATATTTTGATAAAAGAGTTAACGAGATAAGAAGAGTTATCTAAAAAACATAAAGTATGGATAGAAGCATTGCATATCTAGATAATAAGGAAGAGCGGAGATCATTTTGCTGAACCTGTTTACAAAGTATCGTATCAAATTTAAAGTAAATACACGGGCTATCACCTCAGCAATGCACTTCCGCCTATTTAACCAAAGCGGGGACGCCTGGAACCGCGGCAAAGATGGAAGATTTCAAAGTGATTTAAAGTTAATTGACACGGCTACTTTTATGCTTTTCCTTATTCCTGATTACTACGTGCCAAAGGTGAAATAGTTAGGAAATATTCTACAAAATATTATAATATCTTTCTAAAATCTTCGAGATACGGGAAGAAATATTTAATGAAAAACTATTTACGGCATAGCAAGCGATGATAGCCGGTGAAGAAGTGGCTTTGCGTATTAACATGCAACTGCGAAATGGATAGTTTATACTTAAGAAAGGCAAAGCATAAATTATTGACGCACGAGTAGACGCTTGACAGACGAAAAGCTCTTAAAGACAACAGAAAGGATGCAGTTTCAATCGTAGGCATTTTCCGAATCAAACGTGGATATCCGCAGTGGAGCTGATGCAACATTATTGCAGGTGGAAGTGTCGTCGTTGATATGTGGACTTAAACGTTTTCTAAAGCACGCCTAATTCTTTGTGGGTGTGTCCTTGGAGGGGCTAACGTTGACGACGTACATGCAACACATAAAAAATCTGTTTCCCGGTAGAGCATTTATAAACTGTTGAAACCTTTGTAAGTTGTGTTGTTTCAAAACCGAATGCACAGGCTGTTATTGGCGTTTGGCAACTTCAAAATGGCAAGCAGATTCTTAAATAACAGTCTTTGCTAGTCCAAACGGTACGATTACTATTTTGAACTGAGACTAGAAAACTCACTAGTCCCGTGTGTCATGATTCTAAGTCAGATATCCATACGAATTTCCTGCCCTATTTGTTGAACAAATAATCACTTCTAATTTTCGCTTAACTAATAGTTTACAAAATACAAGTGGTGTATTTGGTGTTTTCTTAATACAGTTTCTACAATGTTTTGAAAATTTGAAACATGGGTATTTTCGCAAAGAACAATTTTTTTAAAATGATTCAGTTATCGGGCCCGCAAACAGAATTTAAATGTCGAAAAGAAAACAGCTAATGAATTGCATTCGAAGCTGACCAGGCAGACGTGCGCAAACCAGGACAAATTAAGGCCTCTAAACCCGCGTCGTAAGTACGTGTAATTGAAAGGCCCCCTTTTCCAAAAAATACGTCTGATAAATTAAGGCTATCGTGCGTCTGATAAACGATGAGTGGCATTTCAGCATTTTTTGGCGGAAGCAAATAAACTGCTCTTTAGTTCAAATTACATCAACAAAACAAAAAAGTAATGAACGGATGGACAAAAAGAGGGAGCAATTCCGCAATTTTATTTGATATTGACTAAGATTTTGATTTCAATCTGAGTAGTCCAAATCGTAAAAAAGGAAAATATGGTATTTCGTAGAATATTATAAGGCATATATGCAAAATCAGGAACGCATTACGAACAAACTCCCTATGCTTTGCAACACGTACAAAGAATCACTAAACAGAATGCCTATCCTTGTCTAGTACTCATATCACAAGCGCGTGCGGGTGCCTAACCAAAAATGGCTGGCAATGATAATGTGAACAGCTTCATAAACAAAACGGCCGGTTTGTTATATGCAGCTGGAATAACCTGAAAGTGCTTTCAAGAAGAGTATACCAGAGATTTTGCTTGGTATTTAAATTTACTGAATGTCTAGCAATTCTAGTGCGTCTTATGCGCTGAATAAGGATAAGAAATTACTCTTTGTCAGGCCATACAACCTCGTAAGAGCTAAGTTCAGTCCTAACTTGACACCAGTTTATCTAAACGTGAGTACAAGACTGAGTGACACAAACAGCGGAACTTCAACTCCTATGCGGGTAGCTGTTCAAGAGCATGCTATTAGTCACTTACTCTTACCCTAATAGCATAAACTGACTTCAACTTTCAGCGAACATGTTTCTTAAATGAAAGCCCAAGTAAGGAAGCATATCGGTGACATGTTAAGCTGTCAGCTGTCTCGCTCGTCACAGATTGCAAATTATTTTGAAAACTCACATCCGATTTTAAACATAATCCTTCGTTCAAAACGACTATACGTGAAAAAGCAACAGGGGCCCAAAGGTTTTAATAATTCATATGGTAATTTGAGTTTAATCAAATTTAAATATATATAGGAGTATTCCGGCAGACACTGGCAACCGTGATATAGCTATTTCGGG